TGGTGTGAGTGGTGTGAGCGCGGTGCTGGGGACTGCGACAAGTCTCTGGGATCCGGAGAAGGTGTGGGAGAAGATGTATGCGGATTTAAACTTGAACCAAAAGAAGTTTAAGTTCACACATTTGTGTCCACATTGGCACAAAGGACATCAATGCGTTGTGCCACGCTGTGGACTCCGCAGTGTACACAAGTTTCTTTGATTCGTGTGAGGCCCTGAAGACATATTATTGTTGGTTGTCTCAAGCGTTTGGCTGTCCTGTGTTTGTATTTGGGGCGTCTTTGCCGGGTGTGTGGAGGGGATCGTCAACAAAGTTCAGCTTGGACAAGAGGAGGTTTCCTCAATTCCCATTGCATTGGGCTGATGGTATGCGGGTGTCCAAGGAGGAAAGACTGGATGCAGGAATGTTGTGCCAAACCCTGCTTGAGGGTCATCTGTTGTCAAAGGCGTTTCTATGGTTTGCCAGGGACCATGTCCTTGGTATCATATTTGCTGTGATGATCACCTCTGGTTGAGGAGGGGTTGTTGTTTGAATTTGTCCAGGCAAGGGTCCCAAGTGGACTGCCAATGGGACTGCTACATCTGGCAAGTCCCCATCTGAAGCTCATTGGCACTGTGGGCGTATGCAGCACTACCAGTGTCCTCTGGAGCTGCATGGTGGGGTGGAATTAAGTGCCTCCAGGATTGTGAAGAATCCATTTGATGAGTACGTGTTTCGTGACCTCATGATTTGTAAGGAATGGTTGTTAACCTGTTTCTTCTCTGCATGTGTGTTTTCAGTATTGAAGCAAACTTGGATGGTGATTTTGAGGAGACGTTTGCTCCTGAGTTGAAGTGGTCACCAAGGACAAAGGTGGTTGAGGACGTTGCCAAGGGGGACACACCGTATGGCTGCGTGGTGCAGCTGAAGGCAATGAAGGAATGGATGATTGTTGCATCCGGGAATGCGTTGCACTTGTGGTTGGTCAGCGGTCGAGGTCGTGTTCAGGTTAATGTAGAGGACGTTGATTGTGAAGTGCCAAGCAATGGCAGTTGGTAGAAAAAAGGGCTGTAAGTTGCGGAATTTTTTGAGGCCTTGTTGAAGGTGGTGTTAATATTTCTGTCTTCTTTTTTGATTGTGATGATCCTTTGTTTGTTCAAATGAAATGAGTTACCGTAATCTTGTGTTCCTTGAACGTCTCAGGTATTAGGTTTTGGTGATGGTTGTCTGCGGCCTTTTTGTAGATAGAATGTTGCTGACAGAATGAATTTGTGATGTTTTGTATTGGACTCTGAATCTCATTTTGAACTTGAGGAATCTTGGTATTGAAGTGACAGGTATTGGTATTGTTGTCCTTCCTATTACAGGACTGAGTCAAGAATAAAAGAACCAAGTTCTTATTCCGGATCAAATATCTTTATACAATATTCTCATCCTCATACAAACATTCAATACAACGATACAGATACACAAACACACAAGTCCAGCTTGTACTTTACTTTAAAATAGGTTTGAGCTTTAGCAAGGCTTTGGCTATGGAGTTTACTGTATGAAGCTTGGATGAGATCTCTCTTTTGATTTCACCAAGCAGGGGTATTTAAGCCTAGCCAGCCTAGATGAGGGAACAAAGGAAATAATCGACGCGACCTTAATAGCGGAAATCCCAATCCGTGAAAGGAAATAATGTGGAAATCACTCTGAGTGAAATATGAGTGCGCTGATTATACTTCGGTAATAATGACCATGCGCCACATGAACGAGAGATCCGAATATCAGTGGATTTCACACAGGGTTGAGCTCACCAGGGTTCCAGGATTGATTGTACCATAATTACCGTAAAGAAGACTATTGTAACTAATCATGAGAAATTGTCAAGACTTCTCACAAAGGAAAAGGAAGCAATTATCTATGCTTCCATGATTTCCTTTTCTAGGCTTTCTAAATGGTTCTTCTGAAACTTCCAAAAAGGGTATTCTGTAAGTTAGTGTACTTCTAAGATAACAAACTCACCCCGCACAATAAAAAAAAAGGTTCCATCCTTTTGTGAAAGTCAGCAGAAAAAGAACAACAAGTGAACCAAGTGCGAGACTCAGTGCGACAGTGCCCTATTTTCCGTTGCTGTTTCTTTCAGGAGCCATAAAGGCTTTATGGAAATGGCAATTGTTATTGCTATCCATCAGGAGGAATCAGGCATGGATCCGACAGATGTTCGGATCAAGAAGAATGAAAATATCTTCTTCAGTTGGCATCGAGTGCCATTCGTTAACGGATGATCCTGGAAATGGCAATTGTTATTGCTATCCATCAGGAGGAATCAGGCATGGATCCGACAGATGTTCGGATCAAGAAGAATGAAAATATCTTCTTCAGTAGGCATCGAGTGCCATTCGTTAACGGATGATCCGTTGGGCCTGAAATTTTGGCGGTTTGCTTTGGTGAGTATTGTTAACTTATATTAATTTTTTCAAATTTTTCGGTCGTTAATATATCTTCTTCAGTTGGCATCGAGTGCCATTCGTTAACGGATGATCCGTTGGGCCTGAAATTTTGGCGGTTAACTTTGGTGAGTATTGTTAGCTTATATTAATTTTTTCAAATTTTTCGGTCGTTAATTTAACGATTTTCGTCTCGAACGACGCAGCGTCGTAACGACTTCCTGTCGAACGAAATCGTTGGAAGTTGATGGGTCTCCTGGAGTTGGTGGCCTCAAACATTGTTTCGCGAATCGTTCGTCTGACCAGTGATTTTATTCTACTGTGGATCTTCAAGTTTTTCAAAGGAAAACTCCAGCAAGTGAAAAGTGAGTTCAAAAAAAAAATTCTTTCTCTTCAGAAATAATAGTATTTTTGAACATTTTCACAGATGGCGTTCCTGAGGATCCTGGTGTTGCTGATCGTCGGTGTGGCGGCTGCTGGTGCGGACTGCGGTCCAGAAGACGGTGCGTTCCTGTGTCGGGACGTGTGCGGCGAGGAAGTGCGTGGCGCCGGCGGCTACGGGCGCCGCGTGACGTTCGTCGGTGCGACGCTGTTCTTGGACTGCGTCAGGCAGGCGGACTTGAAGGTGAGTTTCAGGAAGATTTTTTAGCAAGACCAGTGTGACAGCCATCTGTGTTTGTAGGAGGTCAAGCTGCTGTCGCCGACGGTCTGCGTCGGGCGTCGGGCCGACATGGATCGTGTCGTGACGCCTTGGAGGTGGTGCGAGGAGGTCGTGCCACCCGAGCCGGAGATTTCGACGGCGGCGGTTCCGCCGGTGGTTGGTGAGTTTGTTTTTCAGCTTTTCCACACAGACATAAATCATCAACATAACTCACATGACATTTTCACACCAACATAACATATAACCAACACCTGTAACCTGACTACCAAAATTTTTCCGTCACCAAATTTTAAATAAATTTTGTGTATATACAGATGAGCCTCGCCCGGTGGCGCCGACAGCCAACCTGGCGGTTGTCCCTGTGCCGGCGATCAAAACGCCGTTTGTGGTTCGAGCGCCGCCCTCGACGCAGCAAAGCGTCGTAGTGGCCCAAGAGGTGCCACACGTCATCAGGGCACCGTCGTCGACGCCGGAGGTGACGGTCAACATCAAACATGGTGTTGCACACGTCGAGGCGGACGTGGACCCGTGGACGGCCATGGTTTTGGTCTTTATGGGCCTTGGAGGTGCAGGGGCTACAACTTTGGCTGTCTTCTTGGTCTGGCTGGTCAAGTTCATAAGGAACAAGGTTAGCCAAATTTTTCTTTTGTTTTAATAAAAAATGATTAACAATGCTTTTTGCCTTCATGCTTGCTTTGCTTTTTTGTGCATGCCTTTTTTCGAAAATAGAGAAAGAAAAGAATTCTAAAGTTGGATAAAGCTAAAGTTAAAGAATGCATAGTAGGATCTATGCCCAACATATTTTTTAATGGGCTAGATTCTGATGATGAGGAATTTGAAGTTTTCTCTCAGAACTATGCAGATATCAGGGCTAGATCCCCAAGAGTCTCAACATTTAGACAAGGTAAACGGTTAGCATGTAAATACAAAACAACGCATGCAATAATTTTTGATGCTTTGCTTGGGGCTTTTTCTTTTGTCTTTTCTGTACAGTCATCGTACATGAGGGAGCTGGTGCGCATGCTGACGCCGGAGGATCAGCAGGATCCGGAA